GGGTCCATCCAAAAAAAAAAAAAATGCCGGAATCAAGATATGAATACCTACCTCTGGAAAAAGTTAAAAAACCGAGAGTTTTTAGTAAACAATTGTTGTAAATTCAGTATTTAGAGGTCGTAATAGGTTTTACCTTCTGTGATAATGTGGGTCCACGTTTTTCTATAACCCTTATATAACTGCACATCCCAATATTTGGTATTTTCATAATTCAAGGAAAATTTTACTACGAAACTGCTTCAAGCTTTGTATTATGATCTTTTACCAGATTCTACATGGTGTGACAGAACATTGCCTCTATAAGTAAACATTTTTATACCCTACACCACAAGGTGGTCAGGGTATTATGTCTTTGTGCATTTGTTTGTAACAGGCAAAAGGAAACGATATAGACCCACAGCTCCTTTTGATGATCTGCATAGAATCACATTCTGAGTCGATTTATGCATGTCCGTCCGTCTGTATGTACATGTATTTTTGTAAACAATGTACAGTTTGCCTTTTTTCCCTATCCAGCTGAAATTTTCCAAACAACATTTGTTTGGCTCGAGGACGAACATTATTGAACTTGGAGATAATCGGTCAAAATTTATGTATAGCTTCCATATACATCTTCGTCCGATTTGCCTTTTATTGTGCACCAAACGTGTAATATCAGTCCGAATAGTATGGAATTATGCACGTACGATCAGATTGGACCTGAAAATAAGTATGCCAAATTTGATCGAAATCGGTTCAGATATAGCTATAGCTCCCCTATATATTGTTCATTCGATTTGTTATTTTTGCCCTCCGCAGCCGTAATATGCACTCTGTAACATCAATATTTGGGGAAATATATCAAATACAGCTCAGAAATACCTTTGCTAAATTTTGTCGAGATCGGTTCCGATTTGGATATAGCTCCCATATATATTTTTATCCGATTTCAAATTAATTGTGCGCCAAATGGGAACTACAAGTCCGAATTTAAAAGATACAAATGCTTCGGCATATTTAAATTACAATTATAATCATAGCGTGTATGATAGAATTCTCCCATAAAATTTTTCAATTGTTATAGGGTATCATAAAGTCGGCCCCGCCCGACTTTAAGACTTTCTTTACTGGTTTCCCTTTGATTGAGTATTTGGGGATGTACTTGACATTTTCGCACCTGACCTAGCACTGATACAAATAATATTTTTTTTTTCGGTTTGAACAAAATTGTATTTTCATTTCATATTCTATGTGGTATATTACTTTCTGTAGGCGAGGTACCAGAGGAAGTGGACCGATATGCCTATATCGTGTATCCATCGTGGGACATCGAGCCAGACAGACAGATGAACGGTCGCCTCTAGATCGACTCCAAATTTCCGGCCAAAACGTGCCTCATCTAAATAATGGTTTTAGACATTGGGACCAACTTCCTAAAAACAACCTTTGAAGTCGATCTAGGGCTGTCCGCCCCTCTTGATTTGGTCTAAACTTAGTACATCGTAACATTATTGTTAAACTTAGATCCAGTTTGGAGATGGGTTACATCGATCCGCTACTTCTGCTACACACAATTTTCGTAACAAAATAATTTAACTTATAGAACAAGACAGGATCATCCAATTTTGTGCAAAATCCTAATTTTTTGTCAGCCCTAGCTCAGGTGCGAAAATGGGCAATATAGGTCTACTCTTCCTGTCAACACTTTGAATAAACATGAAGCTAATACAACAAGAAATGAGTAGCATATTCCTTTCAAACTTCTATCAACACAAAATCTGAGGTGAAGATGGTATATATGGGTCCACTCCTTCTGGTACCTCCCCCACAAAGTTGTCATAATTTTGAATAACAAAACGATTATAAAATACCAAATAAGCATCCAGTTCTCTTCATATTATACACATTCCATTTTTCCCCTTTGATGGCTCATAGCGAAATTTGATGAAGAAAATATTTGCACCTGATGTCATCCTTCTAAAATAATGTTTCGCAGGGTAATTTTGCTGGAAATCTATAAAGTATGACTGTATTCCTAATATGAGCTTTTTATATTTATAAATACCAGACATGTTGTGGAATCTATGGTAGAATTTTATGGCAATCATTTTGACTTACCCCAATCCCGTTTAAAGGAAGTTTCTTTTATCGTTTTTTGAAAAAAAGGCCACCACGTGTCTCGAAAATATTTATTGTTAGTACCTATTTGTTGGTTCGAGTATTATCTTCATTCCGCATCGTTGTTGTCCGTATTTAAATGGCTCTTGGGTGAGGGTTTTTTAGGAGAATATGATAAGATTCGGCAGAGTTACGTATTATCTTTATAATGATCAGCGTCCGTTTGACATTACTCCACTAAGTCCAGTTGGTCCACGTCTTCGTATAGCCAACATATATCGGTACCCCCCAATATTCGGTATTTTGATGATTTTAGTCACATTTTCCAATGAAATGGTTTGACAATCCACACAAGGGGTCCCTTGCGAGTACTTTACCCTTGGAAGAGAATTGTTTATATAGGTCCACGATATCGTATAGCACCCATATAACGGGACCCCTCTCAATTTTTTGGAATTTTGATGATTTGAACTACATTTTTACCGAAATTGTTTCAAACTTCGTATTTAAAGGTCGTAACCACAGCCTATGAAAAAAATATGAAAAAAAAAATTGCGTAGGCAGGTCCACGTCTTTGTATGGCCCTCATATAACGATATCTCTCGATGTTTGGTATTTCGATGATTAAAGGGACAGTATTCTCCGGGATTGTTTCATCGTATTTAAAGTTTGTAATGGGTACTACAGCCTATGATAAAAATTGCTTATACAGGACCACGTCTTCGTAAAGCCCCTAAAAACGGGTTTCCTTTGAGCGGTATTATCGACGGTTTTTATACCCTACACCACATAGTGATAAGGGTATTATGTCTTTGTGCATTTGTTTGTAACATGGAGAAGGAAGCGAGATAGACCCATAGTTACTTTTGAGGATCTCCATAGAATAACTTTCTGAGTTGATTTATGCATGTCAGTCCGTCCGTCCGTCCGTCTGTCCATGTATTCTTGTGAATAAAATGCGGGTCGCATTTATTATCCGATTGAGATGAAATTTTCCAAACAACATTTGTTTGGCCCAAGGACAAATCCTATTGAAATTGGAGATAATCGGTAAAAATTTAGATATAGCTCCCATATATATCTTCGTCCGATTTGCCTTTTATTGTGCACCAAACATCGGAATTTTACGCACATACAACCAAATTAGGCCTGAAAATAAGTATGCCAAATTTGATCGAAATCGGTTCAGATATAGCTATAGCTCCCATATATATTGTTCATCCGATTTGTTATTTTTGCCCTCCGCAGCCGTAATATGCACTCTGTAACAACAATATTTGGGGAAATATATATGAAATACAGCTCAGAAATACATTTGCTAAATTTTACCGAGATCGGTTCAGAATTGGATATAGCTCACATATTCCATCCGATTTAGGTTTATTGTGCACCAAACGTGTAATATTTGCCCAAATTGGATGGAATTTCGGACATACAACCGAATTGAGTCTAGAAGCTAGTATGTCAAATTTGGTGAAGATCGGTTCAGACATAGCTATAGCTCCCATATATACTGTTCATCCGATTTGTGGTATTTGTTACCCACCACCGTAATATGTACTCCGTAACAACGATATTCAGGGAAATATATCAAATACAGCTTAGAAATATCTTTGCCAAATTTTATCGAGATCGGTTCAGGTTTGGACATAGCTCCCATATATATCTTTATCTGATTTCAAATTAATTTTGCGCCAAATGGGCAATACAAGTCCGAATTTAAAAGATACAAATGCTTCGGCATATTTAGTCCTTTGAACTTGAATAATCATAGCGTGTATGATTGAATTCTCCCTTTCTCTTTTAATTGTTATGCGGAGCTCTACTAAATTAGCAACGTGGTGTAGGGTATCAAAAAGTTGGTCCCGCCCGTCTTTAAGACTTTCTTTACTGGTTTTTGTTTTGACAATTTTCCAGTTGCTTCAAAACTTTGGAGGGTACTAAAAGTTTGGCCCGATCGAATTTGGCTGTTTTTTTTTACTAGTTAATGAGATAATGGGAGATTTTAGAGTAAACACTCGTATTTGCTCTTTACATGAGTACAATTTGAGAGTCCATTTGCCATTACTCTTCTCAGTCTAGTTTCACATTTTCCTTTATTAACTCTCTTATATCTCCTACAATCCGCCTTGGCAAATTCCTTTAAATATTTTTTTTGTCTATTTTTAAAAGCTCATTTGTTCACCATCCTTTTCCACATCTTACCTTAAGCCAATTATGTGGAGGCTATAACTTAATTTAAACAAGGGTTGACACTTCCTTACACAGAGATTTACCAACTGATAAGTTGAAAATTAATTTTTAAGGGACTGCATCTGATGATACTCTTTTTCCAATCTTATATCCCTTTCCTGTATCCGACAAATACATATTTTATTTTCTCTTAATTGATTGTCTTCAGCGATGTGGAAATTCGTTTATTTTACAAAAATTTTTAAAACTGCAGTAATAATTTATGATCAAAGCAAAAAAAAAAAGTGAAAACCTAAGCAAAACGAAACTTAATCAAAGGGAAAGAAAACCTTAATGCCGTAGCATAACAAGGTAAAACAATTAAGGCCAGGTTAGAGTAGGAGAAAAAAAACAATCTGCAAAGGAGTAAATGGCAAAATGACAAATGCTGCTGCTGCAACTACACATTAATACGATTTAGCGGATGTAGGCAATATTAAAATAATTAAAATTTTATTACATGAAATGTGTTTCTTTTTTTCTCTCTCCCTCTCTCCTTTTCTCGCGGCTGTTTCATCTTTACCCTACACATCTCTAACCATCTATTCGAAATGGTGTGTGTGCGTGTGCGGTCGTGTGGAATGCTGGCTGTTCGCATTAATGTGGAAACGGAAATGTGTTTTTATGCGCGAATGAACAAACCGACAACGAACCGACGATTTGTTTTGCAGGTATATGGAGGAACGTGCTTTAACTGGCGGTAATACATCCCGGAAGCCCTCAACAAACTCCGCTAAACACAAACCCAATGTCGGTTATCGACTTGGGAAACGTAAAGCTTTATTCGAAAAGCGAAAACGTATCAGTGATTACGCTCTAGTCATGGGCATGTTTGGAATTGTTGTGATGGTTATCGAGAATGAATTAAGCAGCGCTGGTGTTTACACAAAGGTAAGTTTCAAACACTCACTCACACACACATACATATATAATCCTCCCATCTAATCTGAAATAAGAAAATAATATATGTAGGTAGGTATATGCCAAAAACTAATGGAAAAAGTTAGAAGATGTAATAAAATTAAATTGTTAGCAAAGTTTCTTGTGGCACTATTCAATAAAAAAAGGCAATAATGTTTAATTTAATTTCACATGATTTAATGAAATAAGGGAAATCAGTGTACTTAACATGTGCATATAGAGAAACGGGATTGCTCTGTGATTTTTGAAATCCAGGACATAAGGAAATATCAGGGAAGAAATTTAATCTTCTAAATTTAAGGACTTCTTAAACAAGTAAAAACAAGTATCGGTCGGGTTTGCCGACAGATGTATACCCTCAGCCAATGTTCGATTATTTTAAAATATTTTGCCTTCTGTTATGAATTTTCAAAATCTATGACAGATAAATATATTGAAAATTTTGTCCCTTTGTGAGTGAGGTACCAGAAGGGGTTCGTAGATATATAGCATCTTCACAACAGATCTTGTGTTAGCAAAAATGTTTGTATGTGTGAAATATGAAGAGAGTTAGATGCTTATTTCGCATCCTTTGAGAGTTATGTTTTTCAAAATTTTGAACCCTATGTGGGGCAGGTAGCAAAAGAAATGATCCGATCTCTACCTTCTTTATAACAGATCTTGTGTTGATGGAAATATTTTAGATGTACCATGTCTGGAATGGAATCGGATGTTGATCTCGCTTTTTATAAACTTCATGGATATTCAACATTTTGAGAGTTTGTAGGGAAGGTACCTGAAGGAGTGGACCGATATATTCTATCTTACTACCAGATCTTTGGTTGATAAAAATAGTAGGATGTGTGAAATTTGAAGACAATCGGACTCTTGCATCATATTTTTTAAGAATTATAATTATTCAAAATGTTGGCCCTTTGTAGTAGAGGCACTTGATGGTGTGGACCAAAATTATCCATTTTGGAACGAGACCTAGAACTGTTGTAGGATGTGCAAAATTAAAGCAAAATACGATTATTGCTTCCCTTTCTGTGCAGAAAATATATATATATTTTTTGCAAATGTCGACCATTTGTGGGGGAGGTACCAGAAACAGTGGACCGATTTTACCCATCTTAACACCAGACCTTGGGTTAAGATAAATATTGGGATGTGTGAAATATGAAGACAATCCAACTCTTACATCACATTTAATGAGAGTTTTAATTATTAAAAATTTTGACCATTTGTGGGGGAGGTACTTTGTGGAGTGGACCGATATTCTCCACTTTCAAACCTTATCTAGCACTGACGCAAATATTAGGATATGCATAGTTGGAGCAAAATCGGATTATCCTTTCTCATTCTGTGAAAAAAAATATATATATTTTTAAAAATTTCGACCTTTTGTGGGGGAGGTACAAGAAGGAGTGGACCGATTTTACCCATCAGACCTTGGGATAATATAAATATTGGGATGTGTGAAATGTGAAGACAATCGGACTCTTATTATTATATCTTATTATATTGCCAATCTCCGAACTCGATATAAGTTAGACAAAAATATTATAATGTCCCCAGTTTGGACCAAATCGGATGCTCCCTTCGAGAGTTATCGGGCGCAACAGCCAGACAGACGGACGGACGGATATCGGTAGATCTACTCCAAATGTTCTGAAACGGATTTGGTCCAAAGAGATCTAGGGTTTAAAGCCGTCATTTCGACTAGTCGCGTTTTGACCGTATCAAATTGTATATATATATATATATATAGGGTATAAAAATATGTGTTCCAATCAAAAGCTAAGATTCTTGGAGAAATATTCTCTAAAAACAATGATTTATAAAAAATAAAATAAGAGCTCAGAGAAAACCCGGCGTTTATATCATACTTGTTATACCCTCCCACACGAAACAACTGTCCAAATCGGTTGTCCAATCCCAAAATCGTAGAATTTTCATTATATGTGGGCTATATCTATACTGCATATTTTTGGATATTAGTTGATCTACCCAAAAAAAAACCGAAATTTAAAATTACAGAGGACAGCTTAAAATCATAAGGCATCGTTATGTATGACGCTATCAAAAAAATTGACCTACGTTGAATATTTTTCTAAGGCCTAACTATAAATCATAAGTCAAGGTGGACTCACATTGCTGTTTATATTCTCCACCATTCTATGGACGGTATACTAACTTTGTCATTCCGTTTGTAACTCCTCGAAATATTCATAACAGACCCTACAAAGTATATATATTCTGGATCAGAGTAAAATTCTAAGATGATCTAGCGATGTCCGTCCGTCTGTCTGTCCGTCCGTCTGTCTATTGTAATCTTTCGAACGAATTGAGTTAGAAGACTAAAATTTTGCACACATGCACGAGTAGGCAGGTTAAGTTCGTAAATGGGCCATGTCTGTCCACGTTTTCGTATAGCCCCCATATAACGATACCTCCCGATATTCGGTATTTTCATGATTTTAGCTAAAGTATTTACCGGAATTATTTCAAATTTCATATTTAAAGTACGTAACGGGTACTGCAGACTATGACAAAAAATTTTGTATGCAGGTCCACCTCTTCGTGTAGCACCCATATAGCGGTACCCCCCGATATTCGGTATTTTGATGATTTTAGCGATATTTTTCACCGGAATTGTTTCAAATTTGGTATTTGAAGTTCGTAATGGACACTACAGCCCATGACAAACATTTTTGTATACAGTTTCAAGATTTCGTATACCTCCATATTACGGTACCTACCGATATTCGGTATTTTCATGATTTTAGCGACAGTATTTACCGGAATCATTTCAAAATTCGTATTTTTGAAGATCTTTATGGGTACTACACCTTATGACAAAAATTCTTATATGCAGGTCCACGTCTTTCTATAGCCCCCATATAACGGTATCTCCCGATATTCGGTATTTTGATGGTTTCAGCAACATTATTCTCCGGAATCGTTTCAGATTTCGTACTCCTAATGGATACTACAACCTAAGACAGAAAATTGTCTGTGCAGGTCCACGTCTTCGTATAGTCCCCATATAACGGTACATCCAGATATTAGGTATTTTAACGATTTTAGAGACATTATTTATCGGAATTGTTTAAAATTTGGTATTTGAAGTTCGTTATGGGTACTACATATGCTGGTCCACGTCTTTCTATAGCCCCCATATGACGATACCTCCCGATACTCTGTATTTTCCTTATTTTTGCGACATTATTCACCGGAATTGTAACAAATTTCGTATTTGAAGTTCGTAATGGGCACTACAGCCTATGACTAAAAATTTCGTATGCAGGTCCACGTCTTCGTATAATCCACATATAACGGTTTTCATTTAAGTTGTATTTTTCGGAATTTTTTTTTAACATTTTTAAATTTCCTTCGAATTGGTGGAGGGTATTAAAAATTCGGCCCGACCAAACTTCGCTTCTTTTTTACTTGTTATGCTGATGATGGTATATATCATTTGATACGGCCAAGATGTGCCTCATCGAAATAACGGCTTTAGACGTTAAATATCTTTGGACCAAGTCCGTTTTAGGACATTTGGAATCGATCTAGCGATGTCCGTCCCTCTGTCTGTCAGGCTGGTGTGCACAATAACTTTCGAAGGGAGTATCCGATTTGATCCACACTTGGTACATCGTAATATTATTGTCAAACTTAGATCTTGTTCGGAGATGGACAATAGCGGCCCGCTCCTTCTGGTGCAACAAAAGTTCGCAATTTGCAAAAGAAAAAAATATGTTACCGCACAGAAAGAGAAAGGTTAATCCTATTTCGCTCCATCTTTGCAAATCCTAATATTTGTGTCAGTGCTAGATTAGGTGCGAAAATGGACAATATCGGTCTACTCCATCAACTACCTCCCCCACAGAGGGTTAAAATATTGAATAATTACAACTCTAATAAAATGTTATGTAAGTGTCCGCTTATCTTTAAATTTCACACATCCCAATATTTTTATTGAACAAAGGTCTGGTGTAAAGATGGAATTGATCGGTTTTCTCTTAATGGTACTTCCCCCACAAATGGTCGAAATTTTCAAAAAATATTTTTTTTTGATCGGAACGAGAAACGATATTCCGATTTTGCTCCAAGTTTTCAAATCCTAATATTTGCGTCAGTGCTAGGTGAGGTGCAAAAATGGACAATATCGGTCTACTCCATCAAGTACCTCCCCCACAAAGGGTTAATATTGTATAATAATAACTTTAATAAAATGTGATGCAAGTGTCCGATTGTCTTCAGATTACGCACATCACAATATTTTGGATGACCCAAGGTGTGGTGTGAAAATGAAATATATCGGTCGACTCCTTCTTCTGGTACCTTCTCCACAAAGGGTCAAAGTTTTGAATAACCAAAACGATTATAAAATTCAAAATGAGCATCAGGTTCTCTTTATATTTCACACATCCCATTATTTCCAGTAACAAAAGATCTGTTATGAAGATGGTATGTATCGGTCCACTACTTCTGGTATCTCCTCCACAAAGGCTCAAAATTTTGAATATCCATAAAAAGCGAAATTAACATACGATTCCATTCAAGACTTGGTACATCTCAATGTTTCCATCCACACAAGATCTGTTAAAAAGATGGTAGAGATCGATAATAATTAGAGGATGAAATTGATCATATCTTCTGACAGAGTAATTATGATTAAAAAATATTATGGATTTAGATATCTTTCAAAATATGATTATGATTTTGTATAAATTTATATTTTTACCATCATTAAATGAAGTGGAATGCTTTGATCCAAAAGATCTAGTACCTCCCGCATATTTCAAAATTTTTAAAGAAAAGATAACATATTTCATATAAAGTGCTGGAAGTAGTCGATATAGTCGAAATCAGGCTCGTTGTAATATTTATATCAGACTTAGGTCCGATACAAAATGGAAAATATTGGCCCACTCCTATGGAAATACTGAAATTTCAAAGTAGGCGAAAGCTTTCAAATTTATAAAAAAAATTAATTAAAAAAGAATAAATTTGAATCGAAAAGTTTTGAGTGAAAATATATATATATTTTTTTTTTCAAAAAACGAGCTGTTATATTTAAAATTGCTCCATCTTGACCTCATCCAACTTTACCTATAATTTTCCATCGAAGCTTTTGCTTTGTCGACAATAACAGGCCATTTTATTCTAATGATTACCGGCCATGCCCAAAACTCTTTGTGGAAAAGGTCACAGGTGTGTAAATGTGAACAACTTTAACACACGTGCACGTTTTCATGTTCACGTTCTCGTAACGTATTTTATTGCAATCACAATATAATACCAAAGATAAAGGTTAAATCCTCATTACCTTTGTTCAGGTTAAAGACACACATACGCACACAAAATGAGTATTAAATAAAGATTGATAGAACAACAACAATACTAACATTATTATATACAATTCTAAATGTAACATTTGTTAAATTTTCCTAAATATATTACTGACTTTTGTCTTTTCTCTCTCTCTCTTTTTCTATTCCTCTTCCAGGCATCCTTTTATTCAACGGCGCTTAAAACATTAATATCGGTTTCGACTGTGATTCTTTTAGGTCTTATTATAGCTTATCATGCTTTGGAAGTGCAGGTGAGAGTGAGTGCTAATTACATTTCTTTCTTTCAGATGTTTTTGTTTTATGCCTAATCCGTACCTAGTTCTGAACCAAAAAAAAAAAAATAAACCCCAACAACAATAATAAATTAAATAAATATATATCTATATATATGCATATATACATAAATATCTAGAAGAATGCTAGTCTAATATACTAACAAAAGAAAAGAAAATAACATTAACAAAAACAAAAACAATAACTGGCATGGCATACATGTACAGACTACCAAAAGCCATGTATGCCGATTTCCAAATAATTCCAAATAATATGCACATATATACGTTGCGGCATCTATATATATATATATTTATGTATCTATCTAGAGAGTGTTAATGACCGTCGTAATCGTCGTCGTCGTCGTAATTTTGGTTGTTCTATTAAAACCTAGGATTATGTGGTGATATGTTAATTTATGTTTATAATTTTGCGATAAACTGAACATAAATCCAATCCCGCCCTCCCCCTTTCGCTGCATTAGTCATCATCAACCAAATAAATAAATGAAACCTGACAACCAATATCAGTCATCCAGCTTAGATTGTAGTCTTTTTTATATATATAGAATTAAATACACTTGAGACAATATTTGCCACAAAGAAAAATATTTTAGAAAAATTAATTAGAAATAAACTTATAAATTTAAAATTGCAGTATTTAGAAATGTTCTTCCATATACTGAAATAACAACATTTAAATATGTAGCCGAAAATAGAAAACATATCCAAAATCTTGTGAATTTTTTTAAATACTCGACAGCTAGTTTTGAGATATGTTCCTTTCCTGTTTTTTTCCATAGAAACTTTGATCTTCACATGCTCCTAAATTCTCTTTTAATAAAAAAATAAAAAAAAAAAATTAAAAAATTATGAAGGACCATGTTAAAATGAAGTAATTTTTTATATTTTTCCACGAATTCTTCTTTTTCGCTTTGAGCACATTTGACTAATAAAATAAAATCAAAACCCTCAATACGTAAGCGTGTATATTAAATTGTCTCGTCGAAAATTATTGGCATAAGTCAATGTTTTGGTTTAACACTTTGGGTGTTAGGGGTATAGGAGGCTACATCTCTGAGCTTAAGTTAAACTAGTAAAAAGCAGTAAGTTCAGCCGGGCTGAGCTTTGAATACCCTCCACCTATATGATATCGTGGACCTATATAGAATTTTTTCTAATAGAGGATAAAGTACTCACAAGAAACTCCTTGTGTGGATTTTCTGATAATTCCATTGAAAAATATGGCTAAAATCATCAAAACCCCGAATATCGGGGGGTACCGTTATATGGGGGATATACGATATTGTGGACCTATATAGACAATTCCCTTTTAGGGGGTTAAGTGCTCACAAATAACACCTTGTGTGGATTTTCAGACAATATCTAATGGCTAAAATCATAAAAATACCGAATATCGGGGGGTACCGTTATATGGGGGATATAAGATATCGTTAACCTATATAGAGAATTCTCTGTCAGGGGTAAAGTGTTCACATAGAACCCTTGTGTACAATTTCAGACAATTCCATTGATAAATGTGGCTGAAATCATCAAAATACCGAATGTCGGGGGGTATCGTTATATGGGGGCTATACGATATAATGGGCCTATATTGATATCTCTCTACCTAGGGATAAAGTACCCAGAAGGAACTCCTTGTGTGGATTTTCAGACAATTCCTTTGAAAAATGTGGCTAAAATTATCAAAATACCCATTCTATGGGGGATATACGATATCGAGGACCTATATAGCGTGATTACAACAGACGGACAGACAGGGCTAAGTCGTCTTAGAATTTCACGCTGATCAAGAATACATATACTTTGTTGGGTCTAAAATGATTATTTCGATGAGTTACAGACGGAATGACGAACTTAATATACCCTCCATACTATGTATTGTGGAGGGTATAAAAAACTACAGATAAAGAACTCTTCGCAATGTAGGTACAAAAACAACTCAAAACAAGAAATATATTCCCAATCAAGGGAACGGAAAACAAGGTCTCCACGAAGTTTTCTGAAGGAAACAAAGGTGTTCACAAAGTTTTGTATGGGAAAATAAGGTCTCCACGAGGTTTTCTGATGGAATCGAAGTTCTCCACGAATTTTTTGGCAGAATGCTAAGGCCTCTATTAAGTTTACTTTAGAAACCAAGCTTTCCCCAAAGGTTTCTATTGAAAACCAAGGTCTGCACGAGGTTTTCTAGAGGAAAATAAGGTCTCCACGAAGATTTCTTAAGAAAAACAAGATCTCCACTTAGTTTTCTGAAGGAAACCAAAGTCTACACCAATCAAGTCCAAGAAGTTTTCTGTAGAAAACCTCTTGAATCCTCCTGAGATGTAGAACAGCTCTGGGTAATCTGTACACCACTATCCGGCTTTGCTCGGTACCTGGCCATTATAATATTGAAGGACATGTGAAAGCCGCCTAGGATGGGCTTACAGTCAATAGACCTTGAAGTTGCGGACATGTTAACACCTCCTCTTTGTTAAATTAACAGAGTATAGGAACTACTCTTCAGAGAGAAAGTCAAAGCCTACAGCGAACCATGGTTCAAGGTATCGTAACAAATCTGGCCAAGTAGCTCCTTGCGTAGAACTCAGACTCTAATAATCAATCAACGATACAGATGACAACTTCCGATCAGAAACGTCCAAATGGTATAGGCTTTATTGCCTCTGGCGCCGGAGAACACAACTCTATTCGACGCTTTTCTCCATCCTGTCTATTTCTCCTCAAATATCTATCACCTTTCATATTTCCCAACCTTTATTCCTTCTTCCTTTCTTTTTCACGCAGGATAATCACAATGGACGGAAATAAAGCGCCAATGAGAAATAAATAATGGACAAATTTAAAAAAATTCCCATGAAATTTTTCATTCCCAAAATGGTTGATAGCCTCACGAATATTTGAGATCTTGACTGGAAGTGAATACATTCATCAATTTTAAAGCTTCGTGGTTATTCTGAATTTTGACCCCTTTGTGGGGAAGGTACCAGAAGGAGGAGACCAATAACTTCACACCAGATCTTGTGTTATCAAAAATATTAGAATGTGTGAAATGAGAGGAAAATCTGATGTTTATTTAACATTTTATAAGAATTATAATTATTCCAAATGTTGATCCTCTGTGGGGAGGTACTTGGTGCGATGGGCCTGTATTGTCCATTTTCGCACAGGACCTAGCACTTATAAAAATATTAGGATTTGCAAAGATGGCACAAAAGCGAATGATATTTTATCATTCTATGAGGTAAATTGATTTCTTTTGAAAATTTGAACTTTTGTGGGGGAGCTACCGGAAGGAGTGGACCGATGTTGCCCATCTCCGAACTCTACCTAATTTTACAATGTACCAAGCTTGGATAAAATCGGGTACTCCCTTCGAGAGTTATCGTGCGCACCAGTCAGCCAGACAGGCGAATGTACCCTTCTTAGATCGATTCCAAATATCCTGAAACGGATTTGATCCAAAGAGAACTTGGGTTATTTCGATGAAGCACATTTCGACCAATATCAATTATTTTTTATACCCTCTGTCGCCAAAGTTGATAGTACCTTTTTGTATATTTTTTGTACAAGTATCGAAACTTGAAAGTTATTGCCTTCTTTACACATAATTTAGCAGAAATCATTTGAGCATTCGTTCTACCATTTGTAACAAATTTGGTAGATTAAAAAAAAACCAAAAAAATTTTAATAATTCCGTAAAAATCTTAAGAATACAGAATCGAAAAAACATCAAAATACCGAATATAGGGATGTACTGTCAAATGGGGGCTTCACGATAGAAAATTTTCTGTCATAGGCTGTACTACCCATTACAAACTTTTATTACGAAATTTGAAACAATTGCGGTGAAAAATGTTGCTAAAATTATTTAAATACCGAATATAGGGAGGTACAGTTATATGGGGGGCTATACCTAGACCTGGAGCTACATAGCCTATTTTCAAAACCAAAAGTCATGCTGACCAAACACACATTTGAGTAAAATTTTATCAACCTACTTTAATTCCTTCGGAAGCTAGAGTGATTTCCACAGGCAGACAGCCATATAGACGGACGGACATAGCTAAATCAACATAGAATTTTATGCTGATCCAAAATATATATACTTTGTGGGGTCTAAAATGTATATTTCGAGGTGTTACGAACGGAATGGCAAACTTAACATACCCTCCATATTATGGTGGAGGGTATAAAAAAGTGTCATAATTTACGAAAATAGTATCCGATTTCCTTCAAACTCGACTTGGTCAATTTTTCTTGTACCTTCCCGACCAAAGGCCAATATTTTGAATCATAATAGCTCCATAAAAATGTAAAAATAGACCTTGATTTCCTTCGAGCTATGCGCACCCCCATATTTTAGTCCACTGCAAAGCAAGTGTGCAAAATAGGCTCGATCCGCTATTTATGGAACCTCTCACACAAAAGTTGAAAAATGTAGCAAAAGAAACATAAAAACTTTGGAAATAGGTCAGATACAATAATGGACATACCTCAACAATTTTGTCTATATTGAAACAAGTGTGTTTGGAATATAAAAACTTAGATTGCTGGTTCTCAAATATTCACTTGAGACCAAAATATAGTTCTTTAACACCACAAAATGTATGCAAAGCTTTACAACATAGATCCGCTATTTTCTATAGTATGTCTCAATAGAACTGTCCATGGTAAATTAAAGTTTTTTATCTTTTAAATTAACAAATATATCTAACTAAACTACTACTACTATTTCAAATTCATGCATATACATATACAGTGTATGTGTGTGTGTACGAATGACAATTGCATACATTTGCATAAACGTTTTGAGTTAGTTCGCCAGTTTTTGGGCATCACCATTCATTGGTGATGCAGTATTTTTCTTTGTGGCAAATTGCGTTAAAATGTATTCATGCATTCATTTTGCAACTTCTCACACATACACGCACCCACACACACTCTCTCACGCTCACACACAAAAA